TGAACTCAATTCACTTGCGAAACGTAAGGTGTTTGGACCTGTAACTCCTACTCCTTCATATGTGAAGCTCGTTGGCTACAAGTGGATTTTTGTTTGGAAGCGTAATGAGAAGAACGATATTGTGCGTTACAAAGCTCGTCTTGTTGCACAAGGCTTCTCACAATGCCGCTGGATTAACCATGACAAAATTTAATTTATTCACCCATTATGGATGTGATTACTTTTCGCTACTTTAGCAGTTTGGTAGTTTCCGAAAAAATGAGTATACAGCTGATGGACGTAGTAACTGCATATCTATATGGGGATCTTAATACGAAAATTTATATGAAGGTTCCTGAAGAACTTGTTGGAAGTATGCCCACAAAGCCACTCATTTGATGTAATAGCTTTTTGGAATACTTATTGTGTTAAACTTTTATATGTTTAATAGAAGGGCAAAGCTTATTGTTAATCACTATTTATAGTATCTTGTGTTTAAGCAATAAGGGAATCCAAGGAATGTATTTGATCTAAGAGACAAGTGATTTAAGTTAGTTAAATTAACGAGACCTTTCTCTTATGTTCATTCCTAAAACGTTCCTAGCCATAGGATTGCCAATTGGGCATTGACAATCCGCTAAGGTTAGTATGTGTTATGTCGACTCAAGCGTGAGTATGAACTAGTCTCAAGTCATTTGGTGTTGGACACTAAGGCAAACACATGGGTGCTCGAAAGAGTAATCGAGTACACTGAACAACGATCAAACAAGAGTTCGAACATACATGTCATGTGAGAACTCAATAGTTGCAATATGCAAAGTAGTCCTTTGACCTGAGGCATCATTGATGTCTAATGGTTAGGTCCTTGATCTTTGATTATGTCAACGGCATTCCATTGGAGTGTCCACGGCATTGTTGGAGTCAAGCTATCTAGTCATGTAGGCATATGAATGTACAACAAGGGATCTCTAACCTTCCATGATGGAAGGAGAATACTCTAAGATATGATTCGAGAGTCTTTGGCCAAAGCATATGAATATGACTAAGGAAGATGTTCCAAATCTTATTCAATTGAATCATATAGAGAAGTATCACATTGGATAGTAGACATGAAACAAACTATCACTTAAACAATGTGATTAAGAGTATTGTATTAGAGAAGGACCGTATTGCATTGTAGTTGTAACTGGATAGGTTCTCCAACCACTTCTACTTAGCTTGGGTAACCATGACATGCTGCTAGGCGTCACCCATGGTTTGTGGAAGCCCTAAAGATTAGCAAACACTAATTTAAGGGAGAATTGAAATGTGGTTTCAATTCACAATCGATCGTTAAGAGTAACATCGCCCACTACCTCGCTAATTGGAACCTAATGGATCGTACACCGAGTAAAGATATAAGTGAAGAAATTATATGAAATGGATAAGCAATTAAATGGTTTAATTGAAGAATGGTCAAGATTAATTAAATAGTTAATTAATTATACGAAACGTTCGTATTGGGCGTTTAAATTAGTTTTGGGCTTCGGGGCACAAAAACGTTTTGGTCCACAAGGCCCATTATGTTGAAGTTGTATGACAACTAAAACAAAATGGGCAATTAAGCCCAAATACAACATATGGCCGGCCATAACCTTCAAGGGTAGTGAACTTGGCTTAATTGCAAGTTTGCCACTCTATTGTGAGGTGGTATAAAGACATCTTTATAGCCATTTCACCCTAAGGGGTTTCTAATTGAATTTGGGTGAAACCTATTCTCTCATTACCTTAGGTGAGGAACATCTAGCAATCTTTCTTACCTAAGTCATCCATTTCATCTTCACACAACATCTTTGGTGTGGAGACTTAGAGACACCAAACTTTTGGTGTTTTGGAGAACAAATCCTCAAATACTCAAAGAAGAAAAGGAGCACTAAAAGGGAGGAAATCACAAGGAAGATTCAAGGAGCAAGGAGGTGACTTGAAGGCCCTCCACTTGGGTGAATCCCTTGTGCAATCAAGGATGAGCTTCAAGGGTAAAGAATCTCTAAATTCTTATTCTCTTTAATTTTGTTAAAGAGTCTTATGGTTCACCATATACTAGGCTTTGAAAGTCATGGGTTTTATGAATTGTTTTTGAATGCATGCCTACTTTAAAGAGTTATTAGTTTGCATATGTATTCAAATGTTCTTACATGTTCTTAGCTAGGACAAAATTTTTCCTTCAGAACTTACATTAACTGGTTCAAATATTTCCAAACCCCAAAACACGTTCTCAATTCGACCGAGGCGTTCACTCTATGGTTTAAAGGAATCTGGAAGAATGTGGTATAATTGTCTGAGTGAGTATTTGACTAGTCAGGGATATGTGAACAACGAACTATGCCCTTGTGTGTTCATTAAGAAGTCACATTTCGGATTTGTCATTGTTGCAGCATATGTCGATGACATGAACCTTATCGGAACTCCTGAAGTCGGAATTTGAGATGAAAGATTTAAGTAAGACTCAATACTGTCTTGATCTCGAGATAAAGCCATTTTCGGATGAAATTCTAGTACATTAATCGAACTACACCCAAAAGGTGTTGTGCCACTTTAATGAGGATAAAGCGAAGCCTTCGAGTACTTCTATGGTTGTTCGATTGCTAGATGCAAGATGAGATCCCTTCCGTCCGAATGAGGATGATGAAGAGATTTTGGAGCCTGAAGTTCCTTATCTAAGTGTGATAGGTGCTTTATTGTACTTAGCTCAATGCACTAAACCCGACATCTCTTTCGCTGTTAATCTTTTGGCAAGATACAATAATGCACCTACACGCAGATACTAGACTGGTGTGAAAGACATCTTTCATTACCTTAAGGGTACTACGGATTTGGGCTTGTTTTATTCCTATGGATCATCAAGTGATGTTGCACCTCCTGCTTCTCAAGTTGATTCTCGCCTTGTTGGTTATATCGACGCAGGATACTTATCTGATCCGCACAAGGCGCGTTCTCAAACGGGTTATGTCTTTACTGTTGGAAGCACCGCAATCTCTTGGAGGTAAACTAAACAGATCTTAGTTGCCACTTTGTTTAACCATGCTAAAATTCTTGCCTTATATGAAGCAACTTAGGAATGTTTTTGGTTGAGAGCAGTAAGTGGGCCATATTCGAAGCTCCTGTGATCTTTATCTCGCTGTTGATGTCCTGACGACAATCTTTGAAGACAACGCAATATGCATCGAACAGCTCAAGAAGGGTTACATCAAATGAGACAACATCAAGCACATTGAGCCGAAGTTTTTCTTTTCACATCAACAACAAGAGTATCAGAAGATTGAAGTCACACAAATCTGTTCACAAGACAATATGGCGGACCTCTTCACCAAATCACTGCTGAAGACGACGTTTCAGAAGCTTGTTCATGGTATTGGTATACGTAAACTTTCTAAGTTGTAACATTGTTATTTCTCTTTGGAACTGTGTCAAACTCAGGGGAAGTATCCTGAAGATACTTGCTTGATCTTAATGTACTCTTTTCCCCTACGATTAGAAGCATTTTTCCCACTGGATTCTTGCTAACTAACTACGTTTTAACGAGGCACCAACCTTAGGCTGGTCATATCCTTGATGACGTCTGGTAGACGTTTCTTTTGACTTTGCATTTCTCACGCATTTTCCTTAAACTAATGGATTTTGTCTCTGCTCGGGTTTTTGTCATAGCCTTAGGATTTTTAAGTGAGACTCATTTACTTATGCAAGTTTCTACCTTATTGAGAATAAGCGTTGTTCCTTAGAATCAGTGTCGACGAGTCAACTTCCTTAACTTCTGCATGATGCTAAATCTACCTTGAGTATTTACACACTCAAGGGGGAGTGTTGTAAACTTTCCTAGTTTAAGTGTGATAGTGTAAATCCTAAATTAGATTGGATTCTAGTTATCCTTTCCTATTACATATTGTATTCCTTGGGGATGAAAGATTATCTTATTTCCTTTTACTACTATAAATGAAGGCTCTATGTGGGAGGGATAACACACACATTCCCCTACAATTCTACAAACACATCTCTCTCACTCTCTCTTCTCCTTGCCGCCGATCCCCTCACCATTGTCAGATAAAATAGGCTACAACACTTCTATGCAGGGTTGGATGGAAATAGGGACCAAGGTGGTCCCAAGACCACTTAAGTCTGAAAATATACATGTGAAGGTCTTCTTAGGACCCTCCTAATGTTTGGTACGCGTCCCTTTTGTGCATACTAAAAGTTTGATGTAATACATGCAAAAAAACCGTGTTGACCGGAAAAGTCAACTTTGAGTGAAAAACTGAACCGAACCGAACCGTTCAAACCGGTTCCGATTTCGGTTTCGAATGACCAAGAACCGGCCGAACCGAACCGAACCGTTTTATTAATAATAAATAAATAAATTATATATACACACACATGTCATGGTATAATAGGTTGAAAAATTGTGTACAGGAGCTGCTGCTTCTTGCTTGCTCTCTGAAGTCTGAAAACTTGCAATTTGCTTCATCATATTTTTGTTTGTTGACTGATTGACCAGTGCATATGTATTTTAGTTGTCTCTTTTTGTTGACTTGGTGCCACTAACAAAGACATTTGCATTAAAAAAGATGTGTTGTATGCAACTTTATGTAATTAGTTTTAGAAGATGTATTTGAATGCTTAATGATTTGGTGTTCAAATAATTTATTATTTGGAACCGTAAACCGGAAAGAACCGAATCGGAACCGGTGTAGACCGAACCGTAATGTTCTAGTAATAAATTTAAGTGGAACCGCACCGAATCGAACCGTTAATATATTTCGGTTTCGGTTCTAATTTAGGGGTGGAACCGCACCGAACCGCACCGTGCCCACCCCTACATGCAATGGATATCTCGACATGTTGCGTTGATAGTACTTGACACGTTCTCTATATAACTCATTAAATTTCTTCACCATATGCCGACATCTGTTGACATATGCATAACAAACTCACTAAGTGAATAAACTTTCATTTTTTATTTTATTTTTTTTACGCACTTCGTGCTCTGTTCTTATCTAAAAAAACTTTGTTTTTTGACAATAGGAACCCCCAGTTCAAATCGTAGGCCCGCCACTGCTTCCCTTTTTTTATTCAGAAAAAGCATGTTAACACAAGAAGAGCCTCGCGCCCAAATTTAAAACTGTCCGTATTTAGAGAGGATGATTGAAACCCAAATGGCAAGTGCTAGGAGCACACTACTACACTTGCTCCATGAATGCAAGAACATGAGAGAACTTAAACAAATCCATACCCAAATCATAAAGTCTCCACTTTTACCCAAAGATGACCAAAATTTTCTCATTACTCGTCTCCTTTTCTTCTCAGCCATTTCTGATTCGGGTTCTCACGGCTACGCCATCGATGTTTTTCGAGCCATAGAGAACCCGAATCTCTATGTGTATAACGTCATGATCAGAGCATATGCGTGTAGAAAGATCGGCTGCAGGGATGAAGCTCTTTCTTTTGGGTCCTTGTTGCTGTATAAGCAGATGCTCTGTGATGGGATTTCGCCGAATTGTCTCTCTTTTCCGTTCCTTGTGAAAGAATGCACGAGCAGGGTTGATGGCAGCGCAGGAAGGAGCATCCATGGTCAAGCCGTTAAGTATGGGTTGGACAGTGATGTTTTTGTTCAGAATTCTTTGATGAGTATGTATTCTGCATGCGGGTTTTTGAGTAGTGCACGTAAACTGTTTGATGAAACGCCGGGGAGGGATGTTGTCTCTTGGAACTCGATGATTAAGGGGTATTTGAAAAGTGGGAGTCTTGATGAGGCATTGAAGCTGTTTCGGAAGATGAAGAAGAGAAGCATTTTTACTTGGAATTCCGTGATCACAGGGTTTGTTCAAGGTGGACGACCAAAGGAGGCCTTGGAACTTTTTCATGAAATGCAGATCACCGGTGGTGATATAGTTAGACCGGATAAGATTACAGTTGCTAGTGTACTAGCAGCCTGTGCTCATCTTGGTGCAATTGATCATGGGATATGGGTTCACGGGTATCTGAGGAGAAGTGGTTTGGACAGTGATGTGGTTATCGGGACAGCACTGGTTGACATGTATGGTAAGTGTGGATGTGTGGACAAAGCATATGAGGTATTCCAGGAAATGCCAAAGAAGGATACCCTGGCATGGACAGCTATGATTTCAGTGATGGCTCTCCATGGGTTTGGTAATGAGGCTTTTGGTCTTTTTAAACAGATGGAAACGACTGGGGTGAAGCCGAACCATGTGACATTTGTTGCGCTATTTTCAGCTTGTGCTCATTCTGGTTTTGTAGAGAAAGGTCGCTGGTGTTTTGATGCAATGAAGCATGTTTACTTAATTGAACCACAGCTCTATCACTATGCTTGCATGGTTGATATACTCAGCCGTGCCGGGCTGATTGAAGAGGCAGAACAGTGTATAAGAAGTATGCCAATGAAACCAGACACATTTGTTTGGGGTGCATTACTTGGAGGCTGTCAAATACATGGAAAGGTGGAGTTAGGAGCAAGGGTGGCACAGTATTTAATTGATTTGGAGCCTCTGAACCATGCTTTTTATGTGAACTTGTGTGATATATATGCCAAAGCTTGTAGATTTAATGACGTAAAGAGAATCAAGTCATTAATGAAAGAAAGAGGTATAAAAAAGGAAGTCCCGGGCTGTAGCATGATTGAAATCAATGGGTTTGTTCTTGAATTCTCCGTGAGAGGATCACCAAACGTCGAAATGGAGGGATTATTGTGGATCTTGAATCAGTTGAATAACGATATATCTAGAGACAAAGACACATTCTTCAGGGAATCACTGTAATGAGAGATAAAAATTCAGTACATGGTGGTCTATTTGTTTACCAAAGAAATCTTTCTTACGCATGAGAACTATAATTTTGCTTATGGATTGAACTCAGTTGCTGGAAGAATTTTCCCGAGGTACGCTATTCAGGCCTTAATGACCACGTGATTCTTACTTTATTTGGCAGGTAGCCAAAATCTGAACTCGAAATTTGTCCTCAGTTGCTCATGAAATTATTTCATTGTATCTTGTTGCCAAGCAATAGTTATGGGGTGAGGGCATGTGCCACAGCAATTTGGCCAGCCAATGTGTGTTGTGCTCACCATGGAATACAAAGCTTGCAGCCAACTGTCGGATGCTATCATAGGATGCGAAGACTTGTCGGATGATACTTGGTCAGATGGATTTAGTGTCAAAAGGGGGGATGGCTCAACGAAATATCTATTGGGTGATGATGCAGAAGTGGTTCCGGCCAGATAGATGGCTCAACGAAGATGGCCATTTGCATCAAGAAAGCCCTTTCAAATTCACAGCCTTCCAAGTAAGAAGGAAAATATTGATTGCATTCATATCCATCGCACATCCTTTGAACACAGGAATGCAAAATACTAAGAGATTTTGTGATTCTACGCCGGAGAGTTCAAGAATCTGTATTCGAAAGAAATTCAGTTATAGGGAGATGAAGATATTTTCTGCTGTGCGTTTAGACAGCTTCATATTCAAGCTAAGTGATGAGGAGAAAGCGTCAACTGCAGGACGATGGTCACCCTGCACGTTGATGGGGGCCTTTATGTGCATTCTTCTAAAAGATTGTGGTATTTAGTTTACTACTTAACTCTACTGTATGCAGTGTGTTGCTCACTTGCTCCTCATCAGTGTCATCACTATACAATTTATGTACACTTTACTTATGGTATCGTCAATGGCATAAGCAAATGTTTCCTTCTTTACTTCTATACTCGCCTTTTAAGAACATGCCTCATTCAAGTCGTAGAGAAAAACTTGGATAGGACACCCCGACCAAATCATCACAAAAAGTTAAACACAACTTTTTTATCTCATGCGGTGAAACCTATCCTTGTAAACGAGCCCAACCGAAGTTTCTGACTATATTTCTAAGAAAGTAATCATTACCGAACTCGCATTCGGTATTGTAGGTTGCAGGTAATGCGTCTCCATCAATAATGTCGTCCAAAATGGAAAATACGGGCTCCTTTTTTGAAAGTATTCGGTCCTGCTTAACTACTAATAATTGAACCTTTGACAAAAAAAAGCTCAACTACTAACCACAACTTGAGACTTGCGCACAAGCTTTTCTTTATTGTTTTCGAGAAATGTTATTGACATTTCAAAAATCATTATACACTCTTCACAAGTGTATTTTGCTTTTTTAATATAAAAAATTTGGAGTGTAGAATGATATTTTTGCCTGTGTCAAACTGTGATTTCTTCGTATGTGTCATTAAGGAATCAAAACGAACTTAGGAAGTCGATTACTGTTGGAAAACGTGCCTTAATTTTGTCTTGGTCTACAGAAAACGCAGAGCATGGTCCATTGGGAGTAGGATTCTCTCCTTTCTTTTTTTCCCTTCCCTTCTATTTGAACGGTCACGGTTGAGCCACGTCAACATCTTATATTAATTTTTCATAACAAGAGAAAGATAAAATAAGAGAATATGAAAAGAGGGAATGAAAGGGAATAGAAACAGCAGAGAAGAAAATCCTAGTCCGGTCAGCTGGCTATAAAAAAACAGAGCCCTTTCAGACAACAGATGCAGAAAAGGCATAAAAAAACGAAAGGAAATTCTCAGAGCCTACAATTTTATTTTTTATTGTTTTGGCCCTATTTTTATTGCGATGGCTGCCCAATTGGGTGCCAAAAGGGATCAAAATGCAGGCCAATGGAAGAAATTAAGGGCAGCCCCCTTGAATCTCCAATTTTTATTCTTACAATTTTGCCATTTACAGCTCCCCCTCCAAGTCTGTGAAGCCTCTTGTGCCCTACTGTGGTTCCATTTGCCACTCTTTTACCGTCCACGTAAATATCGTGCCGTTTGATCCTCTGACCAAGCCCGATCGCCTCCTGGATCCGAATCACATTGAATCTCAGCCCTTCATCTGATCCTGTGCTTCTAAATTCAATCCAATGGTTCTCCTTTCCATCATCCCTTGGAGCCCAATATGTCCACAAATGGTCATTGTCTAGCATATTTTCAGGTCCAAAACCTCCTCCTTTGCCTCCTCTTTGGCTACTAACTTTAATAGAACATTTCTCGGCTAAATTGGTAGAAAATATTGTGTCGATTGCACTTCTGAATTCTCTTAGTCTTTTAACATCTTCGTTGGCTATGAGACCAGTCGGATTAGGAGGCACATTGAGTAGCAGCACACAATTTCTCCCCACCGAGTTGTAGTAAATTTCAAGTAGCTTGCTTAGCCTCTTGGGTGACTCTGATTTATGCCAAAACCATCCATCTCGGATCGAAACGTCGCACTCTGCCGGCAACCAATCCGTCCCTTTTGGATCGCCCTTGTTGAGATAACTGCATTCAATTACAAGACATCAGTGAGGTGGTAGATTAAGATTTAAGAGAACATCAATTAATCAACCGGTGTCCCTGTATACACGTTAAGCCAAATGCGCTACAGTTATGAGGTATATCGAAATGAATCGAATCCTGAATCTACCCTAATTCTAACTTGTAACTCTACCATCCATCACTAAACTAGCTAAAACTTAAATTAATCTTTAATGCTAAGAGTTTGGCAATCTAAAAAACACTCCATCTTAAACAAAAATTAAATGACAGAGGTGGATTAAGCTAGTAAGTTAGGCAGTGCTCGCCAGCCTAAACTCTTCCACCTTAAACAAAACCAAAAGACAGGTGCGGGTTAGGACAGTTGACTAAGACAGCGTATCAGTCGTCTTGGATTCGAGTACATCTACTTTTTCGTAAACTAGAGTTGTTCAGAATATTGCATGGTCTGGAAAAAATACAAATATAAAACAAGATAAACCAAAATGATGGGATCTTATTACAAAGAGAAGAAAAGTGAATTTCCGTGAACTAGAAATTAAAAAAAAATGGTACTCACTCTTCAATGCTTGCATTGCCAATTGATAGTGAGGTCCGATTAATGGTGGACCAACACGTACTCCCGGCAAACCCTTGCTCATTTCCAACCCATCTAACATCCGGACCAGCATCCGAAAATATGTTAATGGAGCTCTGCAACTCCTTCACCATGGAGAACCAATCTGTGAAATAATAGGACATGTTTGGTGCATTCTTCCCCTTATTCCCATCAAACCAAATCTCTTTCACACCCCCATACCTATCAACAACAAAAACAAAAATCAATAGAAGTTTAGTATTCTTAACTATTAAAGTTAATATTCTGTAAAAGATGTGAGTTACATCAGTTGATCAATGCAGCTGGGGCCTTACCTGCTTAGGAGCTCTTGCAGTTGAGCTAAGTAGTACTGGTTGTAGGCAATCTCATGCCCGTATCTCCGATCATGTCTATCCCACGGTGAGAGATAGAGCCCTACATCAATCCCACGGGGATTTGCTGCATCAACCAGCTCATGTACAACATCCCCGTGACCATTTCGCCAAGGACTATTTGCCACGGAGTGATCCGTGTACTTCGAAGGCCATAAGCAAAACCCATCGTGGTGTTTGGCAGTCAGTATCATCAGTGATATGCCGGAGTCCGACGCTGTTCTGGCCCATTGGTTGGCGTCAAGACCGACTGGGTTGAATATTCCGGGCTTTCGTGCCCCGTTCCCCATTCGGAGTTGGTGAATGTGTTCACTCCGAAGTGGAGGAACATGATGATCTCCCTTTGCTGCCATTTGAGCTGGGCGTATGTGGGAAGGGGCAGGATTGGCAGTGGAGGTGTTGGGACTTGCTCAAGCTTGGAGAAGGTGATAGTGCACAGTTGAAGGCATGTGATTATCCACAAAGAGCACCATATTTTAGCCATAATTATAATGGCCTTGGCCTGTTGAGTTCTTTTCTTTGTTGTCTATTTAGCACCGTTTAAATAGGACTGGAAATTTTGTAACCACAATAAATCCCAGATGTTGAAATTGGCCTCATAGGGCTTATCTCACTTCTTTTTCTTTTATTTATATCTTTTTGGGTTTATGTTACTTAATTTGCACAATTTTGGTTTTGTTTCTTGTTGAAACTCTTGCATGTACATTATAATTGCTAGAGTATTTACTATTTAAGGTTTCTTTTTCTATTCGAGCAGTTTTCTAATTCAATTTAAACTATGAAGAGAGAGATTCGAACTTGAGCGCATGTGAATACATTGTTTTGGTCTAGCCAACTTAGCTCAGCTCAAACTTGCTGTTATTTTCAAAGTTAAAAAGTGAAAACAATCTAAACAAACCCAACCAAATGAAAACAACTAAACAAGCATACATCAATAAAAAACATCAAGGGAAAATATCCGAGAAAATCATTTATAAACAGATGAACACATTTAAAAAGGATGTAGATGAGGACCAAGCATGGAGAGATTGATGGAGAAATGCGAAAGCAACAACAACAACTAATAATTCTTCACGAAAAGTGAATTATTTAGAAGTGGGAATAGAGGGACCAAACACATGTAATGTAAGAGAATATTCTCCCAATAAATAAAGCCAAACATGCATGACACCAAGCAACCTTTTTCTGCATGAATTTTTGTTTTCTTCACTTTATCTTTGCAATTGTTGTTGCATGTGATGCAGTCGTTCACGGATTTCTTGCCTTTCGGTCCGAGTGCATAGGCGAAGGATCGTTGTATGGATAAATTTCTCCATCACCAATTTATCATAACAAGCGTTTATTAGATAAGTAGTTCATATTTTGAAATTTCGACAAGTAGTTATCAAAAAAGTGTCGCGACGGAAACAATATTGCAAAACAGAACATCTCCATTACATGGGTTTTTGACTTTGGAGGGGTGAGGAAATCTCTCACAGTGACTGTCTTTCTAGAAGAAAAATATGGACGCTTTAGTGGAGAATATTGATGTACGCAATGCATACCATGAAACATGCTTAAATATTTAAAATACTATGAAGGCCACATAATGGGGTTATGTTGTGGATCGTCAAGGACAATCTGTCACTATAATTAGGTGAGATTTTGTAAGGTTTCATATGCTTCGGCTACACATAAAATAAAGACACAACCACAACCATGTTCCTCCAACTAATTCAAAACAAAAATAAAACTACAAAAGCAATGAAAAAGAGATTTTTGGATAGGGATTTTTGTACCAGATCACTCACTCATTCAAGATACACATATAGAGAGATTCCCGCATTCAGATTTTGTAACAACCCATGTTAGAGGATCGGAATGCAGGATATCTCCATATGCGCGTTTTGGGCTCACAAATAACGTGATAGGAAAGTTTCTACCAAAAAAATTTCCCATGCAATGTCATGTGTGAAATTGACCTCTAGCAGGCCAGACCATAAACCTTGGGCTAATATGAATCATCTTAAGGGCCTAACTTTCTTACCCACTAATTGTATTTACCAAGGGAGAGAGCAACTAAGCCCATCATGCAACAATAAGAATTTCTTCTCCGTTTTTTTTCCAATTTTATCCTTATAAGAAATTAAAAAACAGAAGTAAAATCAGAGGAGAAGGGTTACAAAATAAAAAATTGTTAGGTATCAAGACTCTCAACATCAAACTTTTGGGCTAAAAGAATTGTCATACTTTAAAAAGGATATTTATCACAGATAATCTCTAAAAATTGACACATTTTAATTAAGATAATTTTTAAAAATTTAAAATTAATCATTGTAGTTCTTGAATATGAATGTCGCTAATCAATGTCGTCATTCTGTTACAATTTTGTCAAAACTTCTATTAGTGGTTTATGTGGAACATATGTGAGACCTGGGAGTCTAATTAAATAGTGCTACATGGATAAAT